GAAGAAAATTAATTCTATCCCAGCCGAAACCAGGACAATCTACAAGAATAATATCACTGTGTTGATTTAAAGCTTTATTCTAGTTGAGATCACTACTTAAATCTTAAACATCTTTAACCGTAAAAGTTAAAAGGCATCTGAGGTGCCGGGGAAAGGACATCAAAGCCTAAAAACCCTATGTGAAGTTATGAAATAAGGCTCTTTGGAATAGTTGTTAAACTTTTTAGCTAATGGATATAGAGACGACTGACTCTCAAGATCATGCCCAGTACCTTTGCATCCTGGACATGAACCTCACCCTCTCCCTGGGCCTGCCCTCCCCACCCCTCAAACAAAAAAACCCCTTGACATTTCATGGTAAATAAGGAAACAGAAAAAACACTTTATCATTTACTGCACTTCTGCATACAATAACAAGAATTCTTTCCCAATTGCCCTTAACTTTTTTTTCTGATAATTGGAATCAGTTTCTCCACTGAACGACAAATTGGGGAAGGTCTGCAAGGCTAGAGAAGTTACCAAACTACTCGGGTAGTTTTGCAGAGTAAATATGCATCTCCAAGGCATCTTGCATGTTTCTTTCCCTCACAATAAAATACATACTTAGGGGTCCATAATTTGATTTATGGAGTACAGAAAGAAAATTTCTTTTCCCAATTAAAATGGATTAATATTCAAGAAGTAACACTGCAAAGCAGCTGAACTACAGTCAAAAACTAAGGTTGATTAACTTTAAATATTTCCAGTCTTCCAGGATTGTAAAGCATTTACTATCAATTTATTTTCCACAAGATACAGATTCACAAAAATCAAAGCTATAGTATAGAGTCCTAGCTGTTAATATTGAGAGCTTATTAAAAAAAAAAACCAAAGCAATATGAAGCATCCACATATTCAGCATTTTAAGTTAGTACCTTCAGTTTGTTCAATAAACTCTGGAGATGACTGTTTATTTTCTCATTTTCAGTTTGAAGTCTTTTGACTTGTTTACTCTGTTCCGATGAAAGCTGAGTCAGTATCACAGTCATCAGTGCTTTCTGACTATTCAGTTCATTCTTTAGATTAAGAGACACTGTAGAAAGACATTCATACCTCTTCCCCATATTTGGGAATTTCTCAAGAAGCTCCTAAATGCAAGTGAAACAAATTCAGTCACAATAAGGAAAAGAGTGATTAGCTATAAACAGAAGCTTAAAATAAACCATCAAACTCCAGGACTAACCCCTACAGTATGTACTAGTTTTACAACAGAAAAGTTAATAGGACTAAGACTTTGGTTTTGACTTGCCACAGGAATATGACAAAAACACTAAACCAGGCACAAAAGCAGAGAATTTCTTCGTTTTCCAGAAAATCATTTCACAATTTCAAATTATTTTAATGCTTTAGATTGCCTGGCCACATCAAGACCTGTAGATCAGGCCTGAAATGAAATCGTTGCCTGTTCACAAGTTTGCCAGCTGGGCTGCCCTCAGGATGGGCTCCCAAGTTGATCTACTTGGTCCCTTGTTGAAAAAAAGGGATCATAAAATTGTTCCTAGCACTCTACCATAAAAAGGGAGACGTGATCAAGCAGTGAGCAGGCTGAGAAATGCAATAGGCTTCAAGGCACTCCCAGTAAACTGCAACTCAGGTATCACATACAAAGCTAGGTTATGCATTTTAAAGTAAGTATAAAACTTCCTAGGCATACTGCCTCCGCCTCCATCTTTGGTTCTTAGTTGAAAGAAGCAAGATTCACCAGCTTAACTCTTCATCCCACAGTAAAAACATTGAAACTAACATATGCCCTACATCCAGCAGGAGCAAGTACAACATACTTGAGAAAACTGCACAAGAAAGGCAGACAAGATCTTACCTATTACAGAAGTCAGAAGGGGAGAGTGCCATTAAAAGGGATCAACTGATGTTTACTTCCCTCATTATTCACTCCCTACTGCTGATGTGGTATAGAAAGATACTATAGATAGAAAGCGTGAATGGAGAAAGCTACATATGACTGATTTTTGCAATTCAGTCCTTTACCACTTTTGGTGTTAACTGAAAAAGCACTCAAGGCCTTTCTAGCACATGTAGCATGATGCTCAAATCTGCTGCACAGACACACAGACGGCCATACAATGGTACTCTTTAAAGTGTTTCACACATATTCATAAATCCTGGTTTATTTTGGCTTTCAGTAGCTTAGTAGTACTTCTCACATCCGTAAGAAAGTATACTCAGGATAGTTAATTAACAAAAGCCCTGAGGAATTACAGAAGCTTCCTATTCTGAGGAGAGAAGCTATTTAATTAAATTAAATTATTTGAAACCAATTTATTTTTGATGGGGAGTAAAGGAAGGGAGGGTTTGGGGGTGGATTTTGCAGAAACAAAATGGTGAAGCGCTTCTACATGAATGGTTATTTTCATTGGGGTGGCTTGACAGTAACAAAATCAAGTGAGATGTCTCAACTGAGATGTTAAATTTAAACATTCACAGAACAGATGCACAGTCACTGAAAAGCAACAGCAAATCAACTGATCCTGTGGTTTGCAGCATCTTAGCAAGATATGCAAACAATTTTATACATTATACACAGAATCAAGGCTTATGCTCCAGAATAAGTGACATCAAAGTTTTACATGCATCTTTAAAATAAGCAGAGAATTAAGTTTACCTTAATTTTCAAGGATTTTTCCTTCAGGCTGTCATCAGCCACCTGCTCTGCATTATCCAGTGGGTTCACCTGAATGGACACATCATTCAGGCTTCTCTGCTTCAGTTGATCTAGAGCACATTCCAGTTTTGCATTTGTTTCAACACACTAAAATAAAAGCATACATATTTAAGTACCATTCAAGAAGTAGTTCTTCATAACTTAGGTATGCAACTTGCAACACCAACCATCTCAGAATTTTTTTGCAATTCTGTCTTGAGCTGGTCCCGCTCAGACCTGACATCCTGGAGAAGTCTTTGTAGCTCATCTTTTTCTCGATTAATTGATGAGATTTGTTCTTTAAGTTGGAAGGAGTGACTAGTTCTTTCAGCCAGTAACTGGTCTTTTTCACATGACACGCTATTTAGTGTCTCAGTTAACTGTTGTATCTATAATAAATAGTGGAGAAAAAGCAAGAATTACAATTTGGTCCTGGTTTGTATACTCCCCTATGAAGTACTCAAATCAGTTGTGTCAAATACAAAGAACGCAATTTCCAATAACTCTAAAATTCACACTAACAGCAAGATAAGTTTTGAAGTAATTTTGGTGTCCTAATCACTCAGAAAAACAAATTAAAAGGAAGAGGAATAGCATGACACCCAGAGAACTCTAGTCAACTTCGGTCTTCAGTAAAGCAAGAGGAAACAAACAAAAAGGCAGTCAAAATATGTCCATATCACAAGAAAATGAAAAGAAATACAAGATTGCATAAGAGATGGTGTCCTGGTTTCATCTGGAATAGAGTTAATTTTCTTCCCAGTAGCTGGTATACTGCTGTGTTTTGGATTTAGTAGGAGAATAATGCTGAGCAACAACTAAAACATGAGTGTGTTATAAGTACTGCTTACACTAGTCAAGGACTTTTCAGCTTCCCATGCTCTGCCAGGTGCACAAGAAACTGGGAGGGGGCACAGCCAGGACAGCTGCCCCAAACTGGCCAAAGGGCTATTCCATACCATATGACATCATGCTCAGTATATAAGCTGGGGGCAGTTGGCTGGGGGGTAGCAATTGCTGCTCAGGGACTGGCTGGGCGTCGGTCAGTGGGTGGTGAGAAATTGCATTATACATCACTTATTTTGTATATTCTTTTATCATTATTCTTACTTTTTCTTCCTCTGCTGTCCTATTAAACTGACTTTATCTCAACCTACGGGTTTTACTTTCTTTTTTTCTTCCTTTTGTTGTTGTTGTTTCTCTCCCCCACGCCACCAGGGCAGGGGGAGGATGAGCAAGCAGCTGTGTGGTGCTTAGTTGCCAACTGGGGTTAAACCACAGGAGTCCTTTTTTGTGCCCAACATAGGGCTCGAAGGGTTGAGATAGACAGATCTGACCAGAGTGTGTTAAAACAAATTAAAATTAACTCTATCCCAGCTGAAACCAGGACAGATGGCCAATGGAAGTGTCTTTATATCTGCTCTAATGAATAAAATGGTAACATGTTTGCTAATCTGAAGCAATCCTTAATTACACTCTTCGATCTACAAAGGAAGAGTTTGACAGGTAAAAAGTGAAGAAGTGGAAAGTGCAAAAAGACTGAGCTGGCAAGAGCTAAGTGCAAGACTTTCTTAATAAGAGATATAGTTTGAAAGTGTGCAAAGCACCAAGGATTCAAACCCACTTAGGTTCATACTGGCTACATAGCGCCTTTTAAAGTATGAATAAATACATGTACGATTGACCGTTACATTAAGACTGCACACAGTGGATAAATTTGTGTCCATTCTAATGGAATGACTAACCCAGCTAGTTATGAGGCTGAGACAAGTTGAGGATGCTACTTCTAAACATCAAACTCGTACAAAATCCTTTGCCCACACTCATGCTTGTTTAGCACCCATAAAAATGATGCACTGAAAATTAAAAATTAAAAATCAAATAGGATTTGTCTTAAGCAAAAGTTTATCACATCAGTGATAAAGCATCAGAAGACAAAATAGCCTCTCAAAAGAAAACTCCTCACCTTGTTTGTTAGGCTGTCCTCCAAAATCTCTGACCGCCTCTGAACCTTTAACAAATGTTCTTCCCTTTCTTCAGCTTTGGTCTTCTCATTGGTGAGGAGTTCTTGTTGCCACTTCAATTCCTTTTCGGTTTCAAGAATCTGCAGTAAAAATAGAGCGACAAATATGAAATTAAGTTCTGAGATAGCATGTAAATCTACCTCTCACACACCAGGCCACTCAATATTTCATGGGAGTCAAAATACTTGGCACAAAAACACAACCTGTTTCAGTTTGAGTACAAGAAATTTCAAGTTTTGTCTTTGAAAGTTTCTCCTTTCACTAAGCAAAGCCTGCCAACTAGTACACTGATAAATCCTTAGTATTGTAAAGAATTAGACAAAGTATGCTAAAAACATGTTTGGACATATTTTCTGCAATCCCTGTTTATACAGATGAGTAACACAAAGCAGAGACATAATTTGAGTAGGATTCACATGAAGAACTATCTAGAAATTATCACTTAACACAAGTTAAGTTGGACTGTTGTCAGAGTGCTGTTAAATTATCTTTGATGATTTATTATAGAACTATCATTCCTTTCACTAAACCTCTGAATTTCCAGTGAAGTTTAAGTTTTACAGCAAGACAACTGCTACTCAGAAATAGATGAATTGGAAGATATTGAGAGTAAGAAGATTCTTCTTCCACCATAGATTTGAATTAACTACAGATATTTGAAGTGATTATTCAGTATCCGAACAAGGACTGCTGCTCAATGGATACTACCCAATATGGATACTACTTCACTGTTGTGAAGACATGCCTCATCCAGAAGAGAAATAGAAGTGTCAGAACTTGTCAGCTTTAGTTTCAAAACTTTGGAGCTCAACTACAAAGTGTACCATTTCACAAAATTAATTAAAAAATGCCTGTTAAGTGTTTTGGTAATGAAACCCATGTATTTTCAGGTTCCTCTTTTATTCCCAAATAAAGAAGCCTCAGATAACATTTTCAATACACATCTTTAAATACCATTCCACAAGACAGAAGTTAAAGCATGCCAATATTCTGCAGACTAGGTATATAACATTAATACTTATAAGACATTTTTCAAGACAGCTTCAAGAACTAACCGTCTTCCTCTACCAAGCATTTATATTTATTATACATTAATCAAAGATAAAGCACCTTATCAACACTCTCCTGCAGGTTAATCTCCAGTTTGTTCTTCTCTGCTCTAACACCTTCCAGCATTTCCTGGAGCTGATCTCTCTCCTGTGCTAACAGATCACACTGTTTCCCCAGCTGTTGAAGTTTATCACTTTCACTCTCAGTCTTTTCTTTCAGTTCTCCCAGCAGCTGGTGCCTTTCCTTTGTTACCAAATTTAAGTCCTCGTTCAACTGGACTACCTATTAAAAAAAGAGTATAAAGTCAACACATTATTAGCAAAAACCCCTCTTCTGTTGCTGAATTGTATTACCATGACATCATCTATTGGACCAATAAAACAGCACAAATTATTATGGATAAATACCTGTTATTCTGATGAGTCCTTGAGGGGACATCCTCTAAATTATTTTAAGAGTTTCTTATTACTGTACTTGCCTTTTCTTTCAGTTTGTTTATTTCTTCATTTAGTTTCTCTTCAGTGTTTTGCAATTTCTCTTCTCCATTTGCTAGCATGTTCTTCTGGATATCAGCTTGCTCTTTCTGATGCCTTAGCTCTTCCTGTAGATTTTCCATTTCTGTCAGAACTTTTAAGGACTGCAGAAGAAGGTATTACATGGATGTTCACTCAGCATAACTAAGTTTTGCTTATCAGGAGTTAAGAACAATAAGTCAAAGGCATTTGGATTTCTAGGAGAGAACTATCAGAATAATCAGACTTTTGCTTCAGGAAAAAAACCACTCAGTTGTCATTCCCCCATGCCTAGTTTAAGAACTGCAAAGGAAGACAGTCTTTAATAATAGTCTTTATCAGTTAAAAAAACCAAGGTAGGCAGAATTAGAGAAGAAAGGGAAAAACATAAACATTGTGGGGGGAACAGATTATGCAGATGACTATTTAAACACAAAAAACCCACCCCACCATGAAAGATACCCTTATTCTTGTGGCAACTTCCACCAGTTACATGAACAATTTGTCCAATTGTTTAGTAGCAAGATGTAAGTCTAAAATTAAAGATTTGATAATCCTAGTTTTAATTTTTAAATTAGTTGGTTATACATACTTAAGAGATCAGTGGTTCTACCAGAGGTTTGCTACAATTCATACGAAAGCTTTTACATTTCTTAAAATAATTTGCAGAGCTTCTCCTAGGAAAAAAAAATTTACCAGACTTCCTTTTAACTTTAAAAATTATCAGCTTGATTTTTGTTAACACATATGAGAACAAATTTGTCTGAAATAGCGTGTCAACATAAGCATACTTTTCATGCAAATACTTAGAATATTGAAGTCACACATCTGCCAGGAAATAAGATATCAGGAAGGAGAAATAGGATAGCTAATCAGTTTCTTCTCTAGGTTTAGCTTTCTCTTCATCAATCCAGAATGAGCTGAAGTGGTAGGAAAATTAAGGCCTTAAATATCAGCAAACCTGGATTACCTCTACTGTTCAGTGCTAAATGCAAAGGCACCGTAAATGAAAGATGTAACAGGAACTTCCAGAGCGTTTGTCCAGCAGGTGGCAGACAACTGTGCCTAAACCCGGAGCGGCACAGTGACCGAAAGGACAGAAAGGGGATAGGGGGAAGAAAAAATGAGACAGGTTGCAAAATCCAGATTGGAATAGTAAACTAAATTTTTAGTTTACTGCTGCTATGAACAAGTGAAGGGAGAGGAAGAGATACTGAATAGCAGACAGCTTCATGACCAAAATAATTTAGAGTGGTACAACCTGCCTTTAAAACAATTATTTAAGAGATTTTGTACATACTCTCTCCTTGCTTTCCTGATAGTCAGCCTCTAACCGATCTCTTTCTGCTTTACAAGTCTCTACCATTTGCTGTAGCTCATCTTTCTCCTGATTAAGTAAAGTGATTTTCTCAAGCTGCTGACAGATATGCTCATTCATTTTTCTTTCCATTTGTTCTTTTTCTGCCAGTAGCTTGCCATATTCAGAAGAGACATGGGTCAGGTTTTCAGTTACTTCAGTGAGCTGAAAAAACAAATAAGAACCAGTATTAATACTTCATCTCCGGCATGGGTAGAAGCAATTTGATAGTTAGTTTGAAGAAAACCCCAGTAACATTCTAATTTATTAAATTTTGTTGTCGCAGTAATCAGACTCTGATTTGAGAAGAGTGTTATTGGATCATATTTCACAAGTGCTATTGTACATATGGATCGTATATAACTGGATTATTTCACAGAAGACACCTTCATTAGTTTACTGCTATAGTAAGCAAAGAAAGATGTAACAATTTTGCTTAAGAGTCAATCAGGTTTCAGTGCTTCTGTCTCATTGGTAGACAAATTGAATATGTAAAAACCTACAGGCCATTATAATTCTATAAAAATTTCTCCGTTGCTGTATCCGCAGCAGATAGGGGATATTAATGTTTGTTAAAATCAAGCCTAAAAGCCACAATAGCTTTAGATATGAAAATAATAAGTAGAAGAAATTTATAATAGTGCAGCAAGTTAAAGAATGAGCTAAACTGCCTATTAGTTCCTGAAGTATCTTCAGAGTTATATAGCAAAAAGGCATATTATTAGAATTTAAAAAGTTTAAAGACTTGGAAAATGCATTGAGGTCAAAGACCAGTATTGATTCCAAATAATATTCCATCATTCAGCACTAAGGCATGTTTAGTTATAAGTAAGGGTTGTAGCTTACAGGTCAAATTGCATTTGATCATCTTTTCACTGCCTCTGTTGTGCAGAATTCTTTTGAGAAGCAGTACGGGGACGGGGGTGGGGTGGGGGGAGAGAGAGAAAAACTTTTAATTGAGTTTCATTATTACATTTACTGAACCCTTACAAACTGAAGACTGTAGAGGATATGGGTTACCAATCCTGATAGAATTTTTAGTTTACTTGACAAAACTGCATCTGACCTTCTCCTGCAGTTCATCAGTTGTTTTCTTCAATGCCTCTTGCGCTTCCAAGAGCTGATTTTCTTTCTCTGAAATACTTCCTTTCAGCTCCATAATAGTCTCCTGATGTTGTCCGAGAGAGTCATGAGCACATCTCAACTCTTCCTGCATCTCTGAATTCTTTGGACACACCACAGTTAAAGTATATTAAAGCCCGAACAACACTTCCAAAATTTAAGACATCAGTTTACTAAAGCTATTATCCTAAAGCAATAGGACCATTTTTCTTACCATGCTAATTGTCTCCTGTATAGTTTCTCTTAGCTGGTCTCTCTCATTTTGGAGGTTCTCCAGTTGCATTTTAAGATTATCATCTCCTCTTTCTGTCAGAGTGCCCACTTCCTGACAGTCATGCAGTTTTGGAATAAAATCTGTTGTCCCCATTTTTTCAGATTCTCTTTGACATTCATTGGCCTTCACTTCCTCCATTTCATGCAATTTTCTTTGTGCCTGGCTCAGCTCTTCTCTCAGAAGAAATAATTCTTGCTCAATAGATTTTTCTTGAATCTGTGGTGTCTATTTTAGATGGAGATAGACATCAACACATTTGGGGAAGTAGCTTTAAGAGAAACATATCTAACCTTTGATATGTTGATTTTGTAAAATAAATGGAAGAAATGTTTTAGAGAGATTTGTATTTTTTTCAGAATAATAAGATTTGACTAAACTCAATATGCAATTCAAGTTTCTTGAAGTTAGAGACATGTAGAAGTAAAATTTGAAGTGGGGACTTCTGAAACAGATTACCAGAAGTAGAATTTCATGGCGACAGCTTAAGCTGGGGGGGAGGGGGGGGGAGAACCCAAAAAACAAACCAAAAAACCCAAACACCCCCCCCCCCAAACCAAACTACAGAGACCTTATCCATATTTCTAGTCTCAATGGTAGATAATAATGGTGTCAAGACAATGATTTCCTTGAAATTTGTCCACTCCCTCCAAACATATTAAAATATATGCACATACTTCAGTTTTTTCACAGTGCATATATGTATATACACACACATAACACCTGTGCAATCAGCATGTCCAATTATGGAAAATGTTAGCTGCAATATCCCTTTCACTGCCAGGAAAAAAAAGTTGGTTCTATCTATGCTTTGAAAAAGCAGAACTACCCTTTCCAGATGAGCAATTTTGAGGTTCAACTACTTAATTATAGAACCACATCCCTGTGCAGATCAACTTGGAACATCACCACCCTGTACCAAGTTAAAATTCTATTTACAGAAAAATGTTTGTCATATTCTCCTGCTAGTTGTCCATATACATTAATATGGGTGGAATATATTTCAAGTAAACAGTAATAATCCTGGTGTTTAATGGTCTGCAGTCAAGTAGCAGGACCCTTTTCTCCAGTTTGTTTTGCAAATTATTTTCACTCATGTGGAAGTTTAAATAAGCATGCTTTCCACTACAGCCTTAGCATGATTACCAAAGTTCCTTCCCCATACTCTTCTTTTTTCAAGGGTAAACTGTCCAGCTTATCCTGCAATGAATTGTTCTCTTGTGTAAGGAAAAGGATTTGTTCCTTTAGCATCTGAAGCTGATCACTTTCTCTACAGTTATTATTTTCTGATTTTTCCTCAGCAAGCTTGTCTCTCTCTGATGTGATGATTTTTATTTCTTCCGTCATTTGTGATATCTATAAAAAAAATGTGCACAGACAGTATTTCTATCAATTCAAAACCAAAATTAAATGCAGAAGTTGTTTGATTCACTCTGCTACAGTATTTTTAACATCAAACCACTGTAACCAAACTAGAAAAACTCCAGAACTTTGCAAAACAAAAAGTCTTTGGCCTTTGTCACCTGTTTTGTTTTAAATGCTAACCTTTTAGCAGTCTATTCTGCAATATTGGCCAGATTTTTATCTAGAAAAAGTCTGAGACAAAGAAGCCAAATAACAAACACCTGTTGGATCATTTTTGTGCATCTGTTCCAAAACACGCAAATGCTGAATTGACAACCATTGACTTGCTGGGTCTGGCAGCTGATATACTTCAAGAAAAATCCAATCTCAGATACTATAGATTCTCCCTCCAGAGAAACTGTGCCACTGAAGCAACTGTGTAACATACAATATTCTCAGCACCCTTCTTTGTCAGTTGTTGAACAAAGAGGCACAAAAACCAGTGGATCAGCCTTCTGTTGGGAACTGAGCTGCCATTTACAACCATGCGTTACCCTTCTCATTGGGACTGAGCATTATAAAACATTAGCCTCATTCCTACCCTTAAGGAACCCTTATCTCTTCTTCCATTTGCCATCTAATGCCACCATGCAAGTTGACAACCACAGGGCACACTAGTTAAGCAGAGGTTTATTAGAGCGTACACTACAGCTTGAAGCTTTACAGAAATAGATCAGCAACTGGTGAAGACTTGGATCAGGCAGTACTACTTTCTTGCCCACTTTCTACCAAAAGCCTAGAATTTTCTAAGGACAAGCAGAAAAGACTATACGCAGACTAACTAGGCTCATTTTCACAGTGTTGGAAAACACATTAAAAGCATTTTTATTTTGAATTATTACATAATGTTTTACCCGTATTTCAAGTTCTTTAATGGTTTTCCCTAGTGCTTCTTCAACACTCAGGATCTGAGATTCTTTTTCAGAAATATTTTTTTCCAACTTCTTGACAGTGTCCTGGGATTGCTTGAGAGAACTCTGCGTATTTCTCAATTCTTCATGTGCCAAAATGTTCTTTAGAATGAAAGAAAGAAAATCCACAAAAGAAAATTTAAGTATTTGCAACATTAGTAAGCACTTCTTGATTAAAAAAGAAAAAAACAACTCACAAAAAAACCGTACATAAACCCCCACTCCCCTGTTCCCCTATGTATTTCAGTATGGTTTATAAATGTTCTTACACTCTCCCCCTTAACATGTATGGTCCATTTCTATAAAGGCAGAATTCCTACCATTGAAACAGTGTCCTTTATATCCTCTTTGAGTTGGTCTGTCTCAGCTTGGAGAGACTCCTCTTTTTGCTTCAGGTAATCTCTTTCCTGAGTTAAAGTTTTTATTTCTTCCTGACATTCAGTAAGCTGCTGAAGAACTGCCTGGATCTCCAAATTCTTGGCCTCCAGTCTTAACTCTGTAATCTTTTCTTGCTCTTTTAATTGCTCCATTTCATTTAACTTCTGCTGAGTCCGAATAAAGTCTTCTCTTACCTCAAGAAGTTGTTTGTGCTCTACTGTCTTTTCTTCCAGTTCTTTCATTTTGCTAGAGAGCTTTAGTTTGTAAAGGAAAAGGCAGGCACTTTCATTGTAATGCAAAAGCTGCATACTGTGTACATGTTCTCACAGAATCTTACATTGTCTTAGAAAGGGTGAGAGATGCTAGCTTTCAATAACAGAACAGGAAGTTCATCATGACACTTTAAGTCACTACTTATATTCTTGCCCACATGAAATAAGCATTTGTTTATGGAACCTTCCTGTGGTTTCTCCTTAGCAGCAAAAGTCTTACTGCAACATAACAGCAGGCATGAAACTGTAGCATAGCTTAGGAATGATTAAATTAGGAATTATCAAATCCATAGCTGGAGTATGACAGCCATGTCAGTGCCAGAAGCCTTGTCAAAAATATGCATCTTCAGTTCCCTTTTCTTCTTAAATGTTTTTTTCCTTTCTAATTGCCAATTTACGTGGCGATTCTCTTTGGTTTGAAAGATCTTCTGTTCTAAACAGACTCCAGTTCCTGATGAGGAAACTTTGTTTCTATGACTTTAGATAGGTCATAGCAGCATATTTAAAAAAACATTTGCATAATAAAGATATAACTTAAGAATGGGAAAAGAAGAATTAAAAGGTCAAGTACAGAAGGAGAACATATAACCTGGAGCAATATATACATTTCTGTACCCAGGAAGAAAGAGACCATTGAGCTGCAAAATCCTGCAACCTTATACACCTGGCATAAAATAAGTAGTACCCACTTATGCTAGAGGAATTTCAATGATAATGTTATTTATACCTTTAAGACTATTTCTCCAAAAGTTCTGGGGTTTTTTTTTTGTTTTTTGTTTTTTGTTTTTTTTTTTTTTAAACGCTGTATGAATGAATTATTCATGTCTTATCTGTAAAAAGGAGCAAGCTGACACTGACCTCTAATTTCACTTCATCCAAAGTTGTTTTAGACTCTCGTGCTTCTTTAGATAGAATATCTAGTTGGAGCTTCATTTGTTCATTGTTTTCTGATGCAGCCAGATATTTTTGCTCTAGTTCTTCATGGAGCTGTTTAAGTGCTACATATTCCTGATCAGACTTTAAATATTTAAGTTGTGCATCTGCTAGATTGTCTTTTGATTTTCCAATTTCTTCAGTCATATGTTTAAGTCTAATTTCACTATCAGCTACTTCAGAAAGCAGCTTTTCTCTTTCCAATTTTAATAAGCGTAGCTCCTCACACTTTTCAAGAATCTGCCAACAGAAAAGCAATAATAATAGTGTTTTCTAAATCAGTATGTGTTATAGCTGCATGACAAAAAACACGTTCATATGCAGATATAGAAAATAAAGTACAGCCAAACACACAGAACAGTACATTCATCGGGTTTTGCTTTGTTGGGATGGAGCTGTCTAGCAAACAAACCTTCAAAGATAAGACAGACAAACCCCTGGATAATTTTCACTGCACATACTTAGCAGCAGGTATTTAAGGATAAAGAAACCTAGAAAGTGTTTGCAAACAAACCCCTGAATACACATTTATGGCCAAGTTAGTCTCCTAAGCCCTGACCTGCCAGGAAACAGAAAAGTTTCCTTACAAGTTTTCAGAATTTGCAAGTTAAGTCTCTCACTTCTCAAGCAGCATTTCTGCTAAGAGGTCTTAAAATTTTCTCTTTGCCCAATTAGACAAAAATTCAGTTTTGGAACAGTAAACTAGGATCAAACACCATTATACATACACACAGAGTTATCAATGGTGACCATGGCAAATAGGCAGGCAAGTGTTGGACTAGAAATTCCTGATTAGAGTAGACTTTGTGGCTAAACATGTGATCTTAAATATATTCCTAGGTGCAAATATGAAATACCTCAGGAACAATAATTTGATGAACTTAGTTGTAAAATCTTGGATTATTTGATTCACCACAACTTTTGGCTTTAAAACATCATATCCAATAAGCCTCCATTAATATGTTACTAGTCAAGTTCAATACAAAAACAAGGAGAAAGATTTTTTTTGTTGTTTACCTCTTTCTGCTGTATCTCAACAGTGTTCGGTAGAGACTGAAATTCTGATAGCTCGTTTATTTGTTTTTGTAGAAGTGCATTCTCTTTCAATGCTTTTTCTAGTTCTCCTTTTAAGTCAGCTGCCTTTTTTTCCAGCTCCACAAGAGACAGCAGATCTAGAGAATTAACAAATTTAGATTAGTAAGAGAGCGTGAGAGAAGAAAAGCATGTTTTAAATTAAGCAGAAGATTTATGATACATTCTGGATGTCATATCAGTATAATTCTAGAAACGTATATTTTACAATGGCCAACAATTAAAAGATGAAACTACTGGTCTGACTTCGGTCATCACTTGTTAGGTTGACACGCAATTTATCTTAGATTCTCCCAAAGAGCCTTCATTAACTTGACCGTCTTTGTGCAAAATACAAAATATTCCATAAGTTGCACTTTTCCAAATAGTTCAAGGAAGTGCTAAAGCAGTTACTATGTGCCAGCAGTACCAGATACTCCAATATTTTATATTGACAGAAACTCTAAGTATTTGAGAAAACAGAGCCAAAGTCTTCCCTATCCCCACACCATTATGGGGAAAAAGGGAAGAGAGGGCGAGAGGAAAAAAGCACCACCTGAAACAGTACCTTTTGGAACTTTACCCTCCATCAGTGAAGTTAGCCTTGTGTTTTCTTGAAATGCAGACTGCAACTCCTTCTGCAAGTCAGCTTGCATTTTTTTGTAACTGGCTTTTCCAGCTTCTATTTGGCTTTGATAGAATTGAATATCCTTTTGCATTTGCTTGTAATTATTTAAGAGTTCATTCTTCAGGAAAACAAAACAACATGCAATTCACATACAAAAGAAAAGCCTGTTTGCTTAACATTTAAATATTGCATCTGTCACATTTCCTGTTGTCCCTGAACACCTTTGGCCCTGATAAATATGGCACAATAAGTCACAATTTAACAATTGCATTCCTGTCAGTCCTATACCAAAACATACCACTAGGTCAGGGCCATAACTGTTTCTACTATTTTGTCTTTACTCCTTCAAAGCTCAAAGTAAGCTCCATCCCATTTCTCTGAGTTCACACCCCTTATTCTCTTTTGTTCTCTGGTAAAATTAGGTTTGGCATCTGATGTCCTAGTAACTCCCCCTCTCTGGTAAACCTAGAGCTAACCCACCCAGTCCTGTGGAAGAAGCTTCTATTTTCTTCTTATCTTTCTCCTGAAGACCCATTTTCTATGAATTCCATAATAAAAACATTAGTTGGAGCACGAGTCACTACCTTTCTCCAAATACTCTACCATATCTTGTCTTTTCAATTGCTGCCTTCGCTAGTCTGGGAGCAGATAGGCCCTTAGCATTTTGTACAGCTATAAATGCAGTTTAACAGGTACTTGCCATCTTGTCCTTCAGCTCCAAATTTTCAGTTCTGAGAAAAGCGGATTCTTTTTTGGCATCCAAGGCTATGGTTTCACTATCTAAGAGGGATTTATTCAGCTGCTGAATTTCCTCAATTAGCTTATCAGAATCTCCCTGAAAAAGAGATAAATGCTCAAAGAAATCCAAAAATATATAGCCATAATAAAGCAGGTGTGTTCATTATAAAGTGGTTAAAAAGGTAAATACAGGCTCAGAAAACATGGTAAGTTTATTGTAAAAGGAACAGTAGCAGGCTCGTTTGAGAGATGGGATAAAGAACAGCATTTCCCATAGCTTCACTTCAGAGTACTGCTGTATGATAATGAAGTAATTAGCATTTTAAGCTTTGTAAAAAAATTTTCCTAACATCTGTAGGGAAGCAGATTCCAATTATACTAAGGTTATACCTAAATTTAACCAACCTCCAACAAAACCAAAACTATCTCTAAGCCCAGCAGAAAACTCAGATTTACCACTGAAAAAGATGTGTCCTTTTTTTCTGCTCCTGCTTTCTGTAATTCTTCCACACGATTCTGTAATATCTTTATTTTGTTCTCTTTCTCTTTCAGCTGTTCCAATTTGGAGTTTATTTCTGCCTAAAAGTTGGAGAAAAGAGGGAGAAGGAAGATTCTAGTGCCCAGTTTGGTTTTTCAGGCAAGAATTTAACAAAAACCTGCTTTGTACATAGTAAGCGTTCATGGGTTTTAGGCATATCCTCCTTATAGCCGGTAAGACTAACTAGAGCCCAATGATGTCTAAGTTGTCCTCAGCAGATACGTTATGTCAAGATAAACAAACCAAGCATATTTCATACAAGTCTTATTGTATGTAAATTCATGGACAGGCTCACCTCAAGTTCCTCATTGTACACTTCAGCATTTGAAACTAGATTCTTTAAGTTGGTAATTTCATGCATTAGTTGTATCTGTGGAGCAAATTGAAGCAAAATTGCAGAGGATGTTAGAAAGCACCCGCACCAGTAGTTTTAGTTGCTAACACCATGAAAATAAGCAAGGTCTATCTTGTGTTTTCTTTTCTATTAGTGGGCAAACCATATATACACCCGCATATCTATTTAAACAGCTACAAAGCAGGTTGCTACATATTCTTTCAAATGGATGGATGAGATGCAAAGCTCTGTTTTAGTTTCCCATTAATTAGAAGGGATTCAAGTACAATTTAATCATCAATAGCTTGAGAAGCAAGAGCATCGTGATCAAAGCAATTAATGCAGAAATTGTACAGATATGACACTTCAAATTCTAGTCATGTTAAGCGGCTTTTTATGACACAGTGCAGATATTTATTATTTAATATATTCACTAACAAGAATGAGAAGGTGCCAAAACTGAGCTAAAGCAAGACATGAACACATTCACTGGCATCCTCTGAAAGGCAGCACAAGTAGAAGACTAGATAGAAAAGCACTTCTAAAGATTGAAGAACTCTTTTCTTTTGATCTTTGTTAGAAGAGCTTTACAATAAGCACTTATCTACAAGTACTTCTGTATAGTCACAAGCGTAGGCAAGGAGAAAATCCAATCTGTAAGTTTAAGATCAGTGAAAAGCTTTAAAACAAGCACTCTCCTGTGAGTATTTCTATATAGTTAGGAGTATAGTGAGAAGAAAATTCAATCTGTAATCTTAAAATCAGAGGATGGTTGTAGAAGATACGGTACAATACTACTGTCAGAAGTCATTTAGCATTATTATTAGAATACTAGAGTTTACCTGTATATATCTGTGGTGATTTAAACTGATGGATTTCAACTAATGTATTTAATGAAGTGTGTGACCTTTCAGTATTGCTGTAATTAATCTCCTACATGAGTGTCAACAAATGCTTACATTTTATAGACTGTCTTTAGCTACATATCTGAAAACATGAATCATTTAAAAAGCAATTCGTGTAATAGAAGCTACTTAAGAACATTGCATCTGTTTTTAGAGACAAAAACTTTGCAGGGAAAACTGTAACTGAGGATTTTTTGTTGGCTGATAAGAAAGATAGCACAAAGTCTAGCATACAAAGGGTCTTCTAAAAAGAATCTTAAATACAAGCTAAATCATAATCTATTATGGATCCATTTTGTTTAAGATCCATAAATCTTTGTAGGGAAGACAGTGGAAGTGAGAGGTGACCTTGTTAAATTGTAACCTGAAACAACAATGCAAAAGGATGTAACTTCAGCTCCAACCTTAGTTTCATGGTCAGAGGATATTAAACAGACTAGTGTGTACAAGTAATCTGCAGAGAAGGTGTCAAGAAAAATGGAATAATACATCCATGTCTCGGTACCTCAAGTTGTTGGTTTTGGCATTTTGTTTGTTTGGTGTTGGTTTTGTCTGGGGTTTTTTTGTTGTCGTTTGGTTGTTGGGTTTTTTGCACTGTGACTTATTTCACAGTCTAGCCCTAATAATACATATTTTAGGTTACAGAATCAGAGCACAAAACATTTGGACAAATAAGGTACATCTCCACTAACAGCACAAGGAGGTGAAGAGAACTGGAAGTCAGCATTTCCTATATCATAAGTTATCCAGTAGCTAGGGTTACCTTTTCTGACTTCCTGGCACAAAATACAATGCTTCAATTTTCCACAGACATTACTATTTACACTATCACTTTAAAATGTTATTACTAATTTAATAGTGTGTTAAAGTTAATGCTCACGTAGTTCAATGGATTACCAAAAGCCAGAGCTATCTTGGATTGTAAGCCAAGATGTTTTGCACAAGAAATATGTGAAATATGGTTTAGCAGCCACACTTGAACTTCAAAACAGTTCTAAAATGTATTTATGCAGCAAAACAATGGTCTCTTGCAGAAATCTAGACTGAAATTCAGATCATGCATATATAAAAATAATATATGGATACATATACACACACACAAATATATGTTTAACCAGACTTCAGTATGCTGCTCTCCAAAAATTTAAGTGTAGATTTTACACTCTGTGTAAATCCAGTTTAAATCCTGGGTTCATTCATTCTGTTGCTGAACAATCTGTTTGTGAATCAACATCCAAATATATGTACACTGAATAAACTCTAGAAAACATTTGAGCATAGAGAATTTTTATCTCTCTCTACTTATTTCAATGCACCTTACCTCATGATCTTTTTGTGTTTGTTTTTCCAGTGCTTCAAATTCATCCATTTCTATTTTTTCCTTCAGTTTCTCCTTCATTTCATTTATTTCTAATTTCAACTGCTCATTTTCCAACACTAGGTTATTAAAGTTAGCTTGCAGGACGTTTACCTCATTTACAGCAATATCCTGAAGAAGCAGCACAAGAAACTTTAATAGTTGTTGTTGGAATGTCAGTCTTATTTCTAGAAAATACAGAACAGACTTACCTTTTCTAGTGCTAATGCTTCACAGAGTTGCACAGATTCTTCAAAGTCTCTCTGAGTCTAGAAAAAGACTTGTTCTCAGTTAACTGATCTACACAGTCAAGCAAGTTTACTATTATATTCCTTGTTGCTTGTCTTTTCATGGCTAGTCCTGTTTAAATACCAAAGCTTACTGGATCATTCACCACAAAACCACAGAATCATAGAACCATCGTACAGCTTCAGAGATGACCAAGATACATACTTTCTAACCAGTTAGAATAATTCTTTAGACATACAGAAGAATATTGGTGTTCTACAGAAGAGAAAGGCTGATCTTACTGAGAAGCATGTGATGTATATGGAGTGCATTACACAACCAAAATAGATTGTGATGTTACCCAATTCATGTTAGGTCCAGCAGTCCATTCTACATCTGAAATTTGATCAGGAGCCATCAGATATTGGTTGTCATGTTCAGAATTCTCTAACATAGCTGAAAAGAAAGATGTATTAAAAAATACAGAGTTGCAGTAGATTTTAAACTGGACATCAAGAATTATTTTCTTATCAAAGATTTCTATCATATTGGAAACAATCATTCAATGGCAAAGATGTAGCACGCCAAGTAGGACTTCTGAATCTCATAATTTTCTCTTATGAAAGGGAACAACACTGAAGTCCAGTCCCTACATTTATGCTGACCGCTTTATCACAAGTTAATGAATACTACACCAAATCCAGAAAGTATACTGAATTACAAACCAGGAAAAGTGTTTAAGTGTCAAGGAAAGAACCACTCAATAGTATCCTTCAAGATTTAAAGAAAAAAGCACTACCCCCATACAGAAACCCCCCCGACAATCCACACAAGCAAAAAAAGCTTGACAGAAGGATAGGTAATAAGGCTGCAGGAAGATGCAATTCAGCAACTATACCGTCCAATTATTCTCTTGTCTTCAGTTCAACTTGCTTTGTCCCTCACTCCTCTAATAAGGCCTTGAATTTCTCTGTATCTCAGTCTGATCTTTGAGTAATGACTTCTCTATTCTTGTTGAAGATTTTGAAATTTCACACACACACCCTTCACCCCCCTCCTTTTTGTGGGGAAAAACAGTTTGGATGGATAGTCTGTGTTAAAGAACAACTTTGGCTACTTTTACAAAAAAAATGGGGTGTTGGGGCTAGGCTGCATGACAGAAGTATTTGTAGACCCTGCCTTTTACCTCACAGCACTTACCTTTGGTTTTAACAAATTAAAAGCTCAATATACAGATTTTGGTGGGGGGTATGGGGGCGGCAGAGGGGAAGGAAGTAATTTCCTTGGAAAGTGTGTACAGGGACATTTAGTTTTGTTGGGTTGTTGGCGGGGGGTTGGCTGGTTGGGTTTTTTTTTTTTAAATTTGTGCTATCAGAGAGTCAACTTACTCCCTTTGGGAAACTAAGTAATGCTTGCAGAGTTATGCAACAGGAATTTGCTACACATTACTTCACCTGCGATAGTAAGACTCATGCTCCCACTTTTTAAATAAAATTAATCTTATTTCCAGCACAAGAAATACCAGTATTATTGTGCTAAAACCACTTCCCTTTCAGGCAACATTCTTTGCTTGCAGACAAATGTAATTTCCTTATGGGCTACGGGTAACTCTTTCAAAACTTGGTTCATGGAACACAATTTGAGTAGTATAGTGCCAACTAAATGTAGCTTTCATATTGTTAACAGATTAAGTTGCTTTTTAACTTAGATTTATTAAAAAGGGATTATTTCTCATTTCAAGAAAAAATAAGGAAACTCTGCAAAACAGCTTTGAAAACACTTACAATCCTCCACATCTGGTAGCGCCGACAGAGACATTTTCATTTTTTTTGTTTCACTCAGCCTTGGTTTTTCAAAGTCTTCAAAATAGCTCACATTCGCCTGGTTTATTTTACCAGGAGCCCAAGTAACTCTTCTTCTTCTTTTGGCCTTTAAAAAAGTATTTACAGAAAGAATGATACAACCAAAGCACTAAGTAGAGAGTAGATGTTGCATTAGGCTAGTTCTGTAACAGTAGCAGCAGCTAGCTAGACAGTGTTTTGCAGTTTCTTCAAAATTAAACTACAGCATAACAGTTTGAAAGCAAGTCTCTGCAAACTGTTCATTGCAAGGCAACACTGAATCAATACTCACTCAGAAGTTATTTTAAAAGTTACCTCCTTAAAAATAAGAAAGATTATGTGAAAATTGCCTATCAAACTTATTCTTCATTGTCAATATAACCCTATATATTTAATACTACCTTTTGCAAAGTATTTCAGAGTTAAGTAAGATCTAGAACAGGGTGCTTACTTTAGGATTCTGTTTTGAGGAAAAGGAGGCAGAAGTCACCAGCATCTCAGTTAGGTTTCGTATCCTATCTTCCTGTACTTTTTGAAGAGAATTTTTCTCTTCCAACAGCTGGGCCAACTGGTCTTTTTCCATTGCATGAATTTGAGTCTTCGAAGACACCTTCCATAAAAAGAATATTAATCAAACTGACATTTTAAGAGCACAAACTACTCCTACAGAAGATAAACAATTACTGATATTTAAAAACAACTACACACATATATTCTTTTAAGTCTGAAGAGCCATCTTTAACAATGAAACTGACAATTTAGTCTACAATTTACCTGTAGACTTAGTATTTAAAGGGGTCAAAACTCCCCAAAATAGCCTCAGATTTTTCTAGGGACAAAAACACCCCAACATTCTTTCAAGTGTAACATAGCTTAAGAGGACCTTCCCATGGTGCCAGAAGCCTGAAGCCCTTTGAGAGCTACAATTCAATCATCAAATAACAGAAAGCTACTCTAATGCACGTGGTCTCTTAAAATTCTAAGTACTGAAAATTCATTGTTGTAAAGCAACTGCATTACAGTTGCTAGGGTTTTTTTGACAACTTTATCATAATCTTACAATACATTAGAGTAATTCAAAGTTCACATGGGATTTTCCAACAAACTCTTCTGTACTTAATTAAGTACTTCCTTCACTACCCACTATCTCAGGAGATGGTGAAAACACTTTCAGGTGCAAGTTTATACAGCACATTAATTCTCTTTAAAAATAAGAGGTCAGTTATTTTTCCTTAAACTTTTCCTATGGCTATTTTTTTATTTGGAAAAAAAAGAAGCAGCATCTTTTAGTCATTTAATTCACCAAAACAGCATGTTCAGAAATGTGATTTTCCTGTGCTTTATCCTTTTTTAGATTTACACTCTAACAAGACTTGCAAGATTGCTCCTCAACTCCATACATTTTTGGAGAAAGATGAACACATAAGGGACGACACTGTTTGGTGGGAAGTTACTATTCATTTTCTAAATGTATCTTCTGCCTATACATGAGATAACTTTTGCCAGTGATCTTACACAGTTGCAAATTCTTGCAATCAAACTGAAGTTAAACATCACTAAGGGGGAAAAATAGGAGTTAAGTTGGAATCTTTAATTGCAATGTAAGTAGTTATTGAATGTCAATTATTTTTTGATCTATGGCAATATTAAAGCGTACTATAAGGCACGACAAATTTCTATTTCTTCAATACATTAACCTACAGAAAGAAAGCAATTCAGTTAGTTGATCTCATTCAGTGTTAGCTTTCACACAGATATGTTGACTATCATCAGTCGTTCTAAACTTCACATCACCTTTTCAATTTTATTCTCTCAATAGAAGTGACAGATATCACTTTAAACAGTTTATTTACCCCTCCAAATTTAACTGGTTTTGGCTTAAAACAGAGTGTTTCCAAATAGCTATCAGTACTAAGGATAGATTAATTTTAATAAGTTTATTACATACTTCCTCCAGCTGCTTTTTCAAATCCAGAATTTCTTTGCGATACCTCTTCAGGAGGGCATCATCATCAAGTACCTCATTGACTTTTGGAGTATTCTTCATTCTTTTGGCTGTATTGGCAAACTGGAAGAATATTCTCTCATGGGCAATAGTTAGAGAACAAATATATCAAAAGACCTATTCTGTCTTTCATATCCCAATAGAATTAAAGTGACAGTTTATTAGATAAAGAGCAACATATAATAAAGGACACAAATATTTACATTTGCTTATTTTTCATGTTTTCTAAGCTTTGAAAAGGTTTTCTTTGCTTGATATTAATACCTAAAAAATGAAGCCTAATATTTAAGCAAAAATACACCAGGTTATTTTTTATTTACTAAAAAGCTCAAGAGACCACTAAAAAGGAAGACAATCCTACCTAAAGAATACAGTTCATGAATAGTTCAATTACCCTCCTTTCCTGTAGAACCTAACATCTTGTGTTAGCAAAGACTTGTAGTTCTAACTGTGTTTGGAAAAGGTAAATGAGAAAACAGAGGATCTGCACTCCTGCAAGAAGGAGCTTTGTTCCAACTGTCAGAAAGCTCTACTTAGACAACCTAGTACAAGACGACAACTGGGAAAAGATGCTGTGTACAAAACAAATATTTCAAGTTCCAAGTCCACAGAGGACATTTAGAAGATTCAAGTGACTACAGATCCAGCAGATTACATTTGCCACTCCTGCAACCTGTCTACAATGAATGAGTCAGAATAATGCTTGAAAACAGGCAAGAAGTTTTACCTGAAGAGTACTGAGTGTTTCATCAAAAGAAACAGGAGTAATTGTACAAATAATAACCGTCTTAGCATTTCCTCCAAGGGAGTTCTGCAGAATTCGAGTCAGCTTGCTGTCTCTGTAATTTATGAAGCTGATGAAGAGAGAAGGAAAAAAAAAAAATGAAGAAAGGATTCATATTTTTGTACAGAAAAAACACAGTAAATATCTTTCCTAGAGGTAATATGTTATTTGAAATAGTTACCTACATAAAATATGATTATATATCAAGGATTTTAATTTCTTAGTTTATTAGTGACTTCTCTTAAAACAGGTACACAAACACAAGTGCTTACCCAGAGGGGTCATCACAAAGTTTTTTGATAACTTGACCCAGAATGAACAAGCTCCGGTTTATATTGCAGCCTTCTTTCAGTCGGACACCTAAGTATCAGAGAGCAATTTTTTTTTTTTTTAAATTTTTTTAGTTTAAAACAACACTAAGATACCTTTTCAACCTGTCAAGATTTTGTGTTATGTTATGCTCAGAGGGATTATCCAAGAGTTAATTCTCAACTGCCACAACGTTCTATGACCCATCAGCAGCCAGTATCGAATCCTTTACAATAGCTGAAATGCATCACAAATAAACAATAATCTTTACAAAGTAAGTAGCTGGGCCCGTAAGAACTTTAATTTTGTTTCCTGTTTAAATTTTGCAAGTGCCCATATTTACATGTGTAAGTATACCAAACCAGCCTTAGATAAAACTTTTGGGTTAGTTATTCCTTTTAAGAGGGAATGTTAACTTGTGTTCCTCTCAGATCACTTCTTTTTGATAAAGGCATTTTTGTGCCACTTCATGCTGTCACTATTAACAATCAAGCTTCCTCTCAGCTAAAGAGCAAGCCATCTTTTCACTCTTCAGCTTTACATATGAGTCCCTACAAGCTTCTAATGATTTCTTTACTACAGATGAATCTTTACTGATTCATCTCCAGTCTATTAGTTCAGTGCATGACTGTTACTGGACCTGCTATTCTAGAAAAGCCATATTACTATCTAATTGTTTGCACTTTACAGCATTTTCAGTATTTTCCTGAGTAGATACTGCCTGACCAAAGGGAAGAGAGATTATTTCTAAACAATAAGTAGCACGATAGCACATAAGTCATATCATTTCCTTTCTATCATAGTCTCTCATAAGGGTTAATTAACAGAAGTGGCCATCAGGAGAGCCTCATTTGACACTCACCTTCAGATCCTGTTTGACTAGCTCTTTCACTGCCTGCCAGATCTACCAAGTTCTGCAAATTCATCAAATATTTCACAGGTTAGTTCTGAGGCAATTTAGTTTTAGATCCTCTTAATTCTAACCTCTGCTAAAAATTTCATAAACTAAAGTTACACTTAGAAAAAAGCAAGAGGTCTGTCATTATTGGAAGTAATCCATAGCTACTACACACATACCAACCAATACTTTCAAGGTACATAAGGACATGCAATAAGTTTATATGAGCTCTATTAATACCCCCCTGAACAGTATTTCCAGCTTGCCGTGCAATTCCCCCTACCCTCGGTAACAAAAAGATAAACATAGTTTCTCAATACAGAAGTGTTAACTACAGATTTGAGATGTATGAAGCTTCATAGAATCACAGATCATCTGGTCCAATCTTTCATGGGAAAGAGCCTAGATGAGATTATCTAGCACCCCGTCCCGAATCATCTGTAGGCCCATCATTGTGAGGATAAGGAAAGGACGATATTAAATACCAGAGGAAAAGCCTCACTCAATCTGGTTCAAAGTCAACTAGAACTTTATAGCATCCCATAATGATTTGCCTGAGCCAGTAGCCCTCACTTTAATTGGTTTCTGTTTCAGAAGGGTAAAATCCTGTACTAACTCCACCAAGCAGCAACAGACAAGAAAAGGCTAAAAAACCCCTCTATCTCCCCCCTGTTAGTAGAGGTTACTATAAAGTCAGTTGGAACAGAGACACAGGGCAGAGGGTGGGGGGTGGTGTAAGAAGAGTAGATCCCATGAGCTATGGCAAGGGAAAAAAAAAAAAAAAAAAAAGCAGGCAGGAGTTTGCTCAGATACCGCATGAGCAATGTTTACATTCAGGCCCCAAAGCTTTCTCACATGAAGCCAGAACTGAAACCTCTTTCCACAATGCAATTGACTTAATGCTATTCCCAATTCAGAATGAGAGTCCTCATGCAGATTTTAGCAGGCTTGAATGCTTTCATATTGATTTCATTCCTCCAGTTATTTGGATTCTTTTCTGAGAATCAAGGAAAAGGCTTCAGAAACCAAAACGCTCCCCTAGAGATCAGCAGTGTACTCCCCCCAGCTTAGGATATTTCATACACTAGTAATCCACCAAAGAGGTACTAAGTGTGGTTACTTTTGAAAAAATTAATCTTCTGGCGATTGCAGCTGTAGGCCACATGTTCTTTTAACAGCAACTAAATCTGAGGATAAGACAAACCTTAAGGTTACCCACTTTAGAATTTATTTCACTGGGCTTGTCAGTGGTCAGGAACTGTGTGTAGGGGTCAGGAACTTGTCAGTAGGGGACTCTTTTGTGTTTTACAAAACGCAAGAGCACTCTGACAATAGTTGTCCCTTACGCTCTTGGGAAGGGCATAACACTCTCCAGTCTATGAATTGTCTAGGAATTATTCCCATGTCAGAAGTCCCTGTGGTGGGAAGATATCCTCTAGATAACACCCCAGGAGTCTCCCTCTATACAGATGATCAGAAACACGATTTCTGCCTAAGAAACATCTGATAGAAGTTAACAACAAAGCATGCTTGTAACGTCATTATAAAGTACCATTCCTCTCTCAAACAAACAGTAACAGTAAATTCTCTACTTAATTGCCTATTTAATAACTTATTGGAGTACAGCTTACCAAGTGGGATACCATCACTGCTCCATCACAGTTTGCATTTGCAGGGTCACTTCGTTCTCTGCTTTCAATGATCTAGAAGAAGAGGGTGCAATAAAGTTTTTGTCACTTCAAAAATAATAAAACCCCTCCTAATAGTGAAACAGTTTTTACCATTCTGAAGATAGTGTGAGAACGGCTGCTGTGTTCATTCATTTTTGTTTCTCCATAATGGCGATTTTCTGTCAAAAAGCAATATTAGAATACTTTGCTTATATTCTGATAAACTGGAGATAAACAAAAAGTACAGTTTTAAAACTATCTGAAAAACATTGATTTCTGAACACAATCTAAGAGATACCCTGTGATTCTAGATATATCCGATTCATCAATGCTTTTTGAAGATAGCAGCTGCCACTGGCTAAACAACTTACTTTCTCCTTTTCTGATCCATTCCATAACTTGTTCTGGAGCAACCACCACCTCTTCAATCAGATCTTCTACATACGTATTCCTCTTAAGAACAAAAACAGTAATAAATTTTACTGAACTCTAAAACTCGCTTCAATACATTAAGTTAGCATTACCAGCAATTATGGTATTTATTCCAGCTTGCTTCCTTTTAAGAAGGAAGCAACATCAGTTGAATGTCTTTTCACTCTGAACACAAGGAATGGGGAAAGTTTAGATCTTTATCAGAACTGTAGCGTAAAGGCACAAGAATCAAACAGAGATCTAGAAAGTTTCCTAAAAATAAGACTGGTAAGGGAAATACACTTCTGGACATTTTCTGAGGGAATCCAGGAGCATATTTCTCAGTAAACATTGTAAGGCCATAACCATACAACTGGTAAGTCTACCTTCTTTCCAGGTTGCAAAAGCATTGATCATTTAGGGCATTGAAAGGAAAAAAAAAAAACCCAACCAACCTCCAAAAAACCAAAGCACCAATTTCTATTATTTGCTATAAAACTTAATGTAAAGAAACTGAAGATGACATTAACATATTTATTTTTCCCTACTGATCATCTTCCTGAATAGTTCTAGTCGATGGTTCCAGTAGAAGAAAAGTTTATCTACTTTGTAGATGATCTGAAGATGGTATTAAAGTAACTGTGTATCTGTTGAAGACTTCTAACACCTTGAGCTGGAGGCTTAATACCATGTTTGTAGAAGTTTTATTAGCTAGACAACTCCCAGGTATTCACTGTCAAAGTTAAATGAAATATACTATCCTGGAAAACTTAAGGGATTAAATCTACATCTACAGACACTTATAAAAATAAACTAGCAACAGCAAGCCAAACTTCACTGTTATTCTACTACATCAAGTGTCCTTCTGGTAATTCTGAAGATAACAATTACACAATTTGACACAGAAAAGTTTTCAACTAGATGCCTTTGAAGGCTGCTTTTTTTTTTTTTAAACTTCTTTTACTCCAAGCAGATTCAATACTTACACTGCATAACATCCACTTACATTAACATCCTCACGAATTCCCAGAGGCTTCTTTTTCCTGATATCACAAAGCAAATCTGTAATGGTTTCATTGTAGATTTCCATGTAAGAAACCCTTAGCAAGAATTCTCTATCTGGAATCTAATGTTCAAAGAACAAAAAAAAAAAAAAGGAAAAAGAGAGAGAGAAAACAAAAAGTAACGGACTAATCAATGAACACCTTTTAATGCAAGTATTCTGAACTCAAAGGTATATGTTTGGATATTGTTCCACATATTTTATTGCCCCCATCCTCTTTGCACATTAGCATCTACCAATATGGAATAATTTTTCTTCCATCCCACCTCTTTCCAGCCTCATTAATGGCATATCACCTTTAATAAATTATAGAAGATAACTGCCCTACAGAAGCATGACAATTGTCACCCCACTTAAATGCCCTTTCCATATCTAATTTCCTTCTGCTTAGGCTCTTTCTGTGTACCTGGCCTCCTTTCCTTGCTTGCTTAGATTTACATTGCTGGTGCTTCTCCTGCCTCCCCGGTAGAGAATACTGGGGTGAGGAAAGGCTGCACGATGGACTCGAGGACTACAGCACCATGGAAAGTTCTCTTGTCTTTAGTTACTTTTAACGTACTCTGCACCTCCTCAAAGGAGCAGTGACCATTTCACATACTGATAACAATTATCTGAAGTCCTCAAGGCAGAAGCAAGTGCTCTGCAGATGGTATTTTGGAAATCACTGTTTTAACTTACACCTTCTCCTTACTTCCTATTAGCATTGAGCAATTAGCCTACGATTCTTTTGAAAGCCTGAAATAAGTAAACTTAGTGTCATATTCTTCCCACTGAAAGTCTTTAACACTGGGTTTTTTTAAAGTTTTAAAATAGCAGAATAAAGAACAGAAAACATCACATTACCTTATATACCACAAGTAAGCATCTACTTATACTTGTAATCTAGGTTTCATATATTTGCAAATTTAACAACCCCCCCTCTGTTTTGTTCTGATTTGATTCCAACTAACAAAGTCCTATTTTTTTTTTTTTAACTCACTCATCTGTGCAAGGCTGGCAAAGCAACTGCAATATACAGTCCAATATAAATTCATTTGATAGAATCATACAATCGTTTAGGTTGGAAAAGACCTTTAAGATCATCCAGTCCAACCATTAGCCTAACACTAACAAGTCCACCACTAAACCAATTAAGGGTAATGATTAACTTCATGTTTCCTGGCTTGGTGGCTGGATTTTTTTTTAATGAAAGTAAAACTAGAAATCATTAAGGTTGGAAAGGACCTCTAAAATCATCAGTCCAACCATCAACCCAACACCACCATGCCTACTAAACCACATCCCAAAATGCCATGTCTACACGTTTTTTTGAACACTTCCAGGGATGGTGACTCCACCACCTCTCTGGGTAGCCTGTTCCAATGCTTGACTACCCTTTCTGTGAAGAAATTTCTCCTAATATCCAATCTAAACCTCCCCTGACACAGCTTGAGCCCATTTCCTCTCGTCCTATCACTAACTACTTGGGAGAAGAGACCAACACCCACCTCGCTACAACCTCCTTTCAGGTAGTTGTAGAGAGCAATTCCCTTCATAAGCTCCTTGACATGAAAATTAATTTTTCTGTAACAATCTGTAATTTTTCTGTAACAATCACAAATATTAGTAGTCCTTTCAGTCACTTCAATTTAATGGAATTGCTCACCTCACAAATAATTTTGAAAACATGTTGAATTGCCTTAGGGATAATGCCCACAGAATCTTCATTTCCCATCATTGTGTATGTCTTCCCTGAAGCAGTCTGTCCATAAGCAAAAATTGTGCCTAGAAAGATGGTTAAATATTACTAATTACTTATGAAATACATTACAAACAGGATTTAAATGCAGTTTTAAAACTTACCATTATAACCTTGCACAGCTGACTGTATAATTGGAACAGCTACACCTTCATATAACTGCTGAGTGTTGTCACTTGAATGAAAGACACGATCTTAAAAAAAAAAAATAAAATAAAGCATGTAAATCCATTGTATTGCAAGTCAAAAACAAGCTGTCATCTTATTCAGTATTGCTGACTTCAAATCCAATAAATAGGCATCAGATTGTTTGTAGGATAATTCAAATATAAAATGTAACTGTGACACTACTAATGCAGACATTTTTTTTTTTTTTAAAAAAAAAGAAGCATTAAACCCAGAACCAAGAAAGATACAATGAACAGACAAGTCAAAAAAACTAACAGGTTTTTTTGGTTGTTTTTTTTTTTTTTTTTTTTTTTTTTGTAACTAAAACCATGGCTAGTTTATCTGAGGATTGCAAGCCTGACAAGGCAGGCTACTTGTTAAACTCCTAGCTTGGGGCATGCTTTTATTGAATCTATAATTTGGGAAAAATCTTTGTAGTGGCTACATTCATATTAACAAGTAGAGAGGATCACTAAGAAGATCCTCAAAGTGAGGCAGTTAGTTATGAGGATCTAACATCCCATGCTGGTTTTGGCTGGGATAAAGTTAGTTTTCTTCACAGTAGCTGGTATAGTGCTATGTTTTGGATTTGTGCTGGAAACAGTGTTGATAACACAGGGATGTTTTAGTTACTGCTGAGCAGTGCTTACACAGAGTCAAGGCCTTTTCTGCTCCTCACCCCACCCCACCAGCGAGCAGGCTGAGGGTGCACAAGAAGCTGGGCGGGGAAACAGCTGGGACAGCTGACCCCAACTGACCAAAGGGATATTGCATGACATGTGATGTCACGCTCAGCATATAAAGCTGGAGGAAGAAGAAGGAAGCAGGGGATGTTTGGAGTGATGGTGTTTGTCTTCCCAAGTAACCATTACATGTGATGAGGCCCGGCTTTCCTGGAGATGGCTGAACACCTGCCTGCCAATGGGCAGCAGTGAATGAATTCCTTGTTTTGCTTTGCTCACATGCACTGCTTTTGCTTTACCTATTAACCTGGCTTTATGCCAACCCACGAGTTTTCTCACTTGTACTCTTCCAATTCTCTCCCCCATCCCACTAGGAGGGAGCGAGCAAGCGGCTCTGTGGGGCTTAGTTACCAGCTGGGGTTAAACCACAACACATCCACATGAAGCGCTTTTCAGTTTTGGGTTCCCCCACCCCTTTCTCCCTAAATGCTCAGGACTAGCCCTAGTCTAGTCCTCTTGTAACTGGAATTAATATGAAAAGAGTCCAGTTCATGTTCCAGAACCACTCTACAACATGAACCAGAACAGAGAAAGCAATATCCATTAGGAAGCTGACTTCAAAAGCACATTCCTGGTACTGACTAAAACCAAAATCCTGCATGCCCCAATGGCATCCCTTCAAAATTCTGAAGTTGGAAAAAAGAGTTCAGGGACCTTGCAAAAAGCTAAGGTCATGAATGTTAGCATACATTCTAGTACAGTAACAAAGGTCCATGTAAGCATCAAAATAATCACTTTCATATTCTTACCATAACTGAATACTTTTGCACCATTCACTTCAGAAATAGTATTATTTTCACTTTTCCAGTGGAGTGATACTTTATCTTCTAGAGCATTTTCTCTAAAAGAAGAGAGACTCTGTTAACTTTACCAGGTTAGGACTCTGCCCCTGCACGCAGATCTAGCCCCTTACTGAGACCACCTCTCTCCCCCAGGCCCTCGCCAGCCCCATTTGTTCCGGCTCTCTCTTTCCCCCACGGCGACGGACGCCGCTTTTATGCCCCGGCCTCGCACCCCTCGTA